AGGGCTAGGATTGTGCCATCACAATTTCAATCCAATGGTTACAAATAATTCTATACCTACCACACACACCTACCACACCTACCACACCTACTACACAATAATTTCATACCTACCACATATTCTAGAATAAGCTTATAGAAATTAAGCTTTATTTAAACAACTAAAACAAGTTTATATTTCAACAAAGTTGTTAAGTATGTGTAGTAGTGTTTTAATTTCATCTTCATTGTTTTGATTTTTTTCATGTTATGTTTATTCATTCATCTTTATGATAATTATTTTGCTTGTTTTTTTTTTCTTTTTGAATGACATATTTCTAGTTTTTGTTATGTTATGGTCCCTTAATATTTTCTTGTAGAGTTAGAGAAAGTGTAATAAGAGGGATGATGAAAGTCATGCTTTAGATTGCTCTTACACTAGAGGTATTGATCACAGATGGTTCAAGAGGACCTTTGAGGTTATGTTTGAGCCAATATTAGGAAAATTAGAAACTAGGTAGAAGAAATGATCATTTAAATTGGATATAATAAATATAGCTATGTCGATATTGAGGAGATCTGACGGTCTAGAGGAGAAGAGAATAATAAAGAAAGGTACGCCAACAGAATATCGGGAGGCTCACAAAACAGACTATATACATTTAGACCAACCAAAACTCACAAAGCCAATCAGATACATTCAGACGAACCAATGCCTGCAAAGTTGACCAGATATATGTAGACAAACCAAGGCCTACAAAGCCGACTTGATACATTGCAATTGTAAAATACCAAAAATATTTTGTAGCGCACTCATGAAAGCAAGTTCAAAAATTTAATATCACTAGATTATACTCAATCCCCTATAAATAGAGGATAATTTCATGTACAAAAAGAAAAAAAAAGTTTTGATAAAATAGAAATGCTCATAAGAGACCCGAGAAGATCTCATTAGCCCCAAGAGGATAGTCGCTATGCACTCCTCCCTTCGTTTCTCCTCCTCTCTCCCTTCCTGCGATGTATTCTGTTAAGGTGTGATTCACAAAAAAATCATGATTCAACATCTTAAAAGATGCAGTGAGTCTGTATCATGCCAGAAGTAAGAAGAGGGGCAGCTTATGGAGAAGAAACTCAAAACAAAGAAACTGACAACATGGAGTGCACTAGAAAGTATGTGAACCTGCAGATCATGGAGTTGAAAGATCAAGTACTGGACGCCATACGATGTGCGCTGACTCAGGAAGAGAGCATTAACTTTTAGAGGAAGAATCAACATCGATACTTTGACTGTGTCAGGTAGCCATCAATCGACCGACATCAACTCATGCTCACTGAGGGAGGAGTGCCCAGTGACTTACCCTTTGGAGGCTAATGGGATCTTTCCAGTTCTCTAGTGAACTTTTTTATTTTATCAATTTTTTTTTTTCATTTTATACATGAAATTATCCTCCTATTTAGGAGAGTGAATATGATCTAGTGATATTAAATTTTAACCTTGCATGCTTTAATGAGACGTTACAAAGTATTCTTGGTATTTTACTGGTCTGATGTTTCCAATTGGCTGTGTAAGCTTTGGTTTGTCTGAATGTATTTGGTCGGCTTTGTGAGCCTTGGTTTTTCTAAATGTATTTGGTAGGCTTTGTGAGTCTGTAGTCCTTATCCTGGCAGACCTTCCTTTATCGTTCTTGTTTCCTCTAAACCTTTAAATCTCATTGGGATCAACGTGGTCATATTTTTTATACATATTTAGCTCCCAGATTCTATTATTTCTTGAAAATGAAATTGCAATAAAATTAAGAGATTTAATGAAAAAAATTGATCATATTTAATGACTCATTAATTAAACTCCCTCAATTTTCACATCATTTGTGCTCTATTTTCATTGCTACGAAGTACTCTCCTTGGGCCTTCAGATCAGCACGAAATGTTCGGTTGGCTTTGTTGGTTGGCTTTGTTAGTTGACTTAACTTAATTGGCTTTGGTTTTGTCTATAAATTAGACATTTTTTTCTTTTTAGATATTTGTATAGAAATGTGTAAGAAATTCTCTATAACTTTATAAACATGAAATAAAGTGAAGCTTTCAATCACTTTTTACCTTTATTTTAAAAATTTTACCTTACCAGATATTTTATTTTTCTTGTGATATATGTTCTGTTTGTGATAATCAATAAGTCAGATTTTATCAAAACGTCTTTTGTCAGTTTTATTGAATTACAATATGACTCAAGTATTACACTTCCTATGTCTTGTTTACTCGAATAGGTTGTTGCCTTGGAGGGCCGCACCTTTCACTAGGTGTATTAAGCATATCTTGTCACACCTTTCACGAGGGTACTGATCAAGCCTTGATGCTGGGGGATTCATACGTTACCCGTCGTAGATATTTTCGCTCATGAGTATGGAATCACCTCCAAAGCTTGAGTCATTTCAAGTTAAGAGATAAGTATTTACGATGTGTGAGCGTTGAGAATCAATTTTTATGAATTTTGCGATCAAACGATAATTCATCATTGTCAGACATTCAAGAAAATTGAACTAATTGGACATTGAGCGCTGCTATCAGTTTCGTTTGCTTAATTGAACTACTGCTAACAAGTCGGCCCGAGTACCCCGAGTGTCAATCAGATCTTGAACAAACTATTACATGAACTCCCAAAGTTCTCAGCGTCAGTCGAACTTGAGATTGTGTGCATAATTATAAAAATATTATATTTTGAGAAAATTGAATGCAATATTTGGAACAATAACCATTCTTATTGTCGAGTTGGGCAATGGTCAGAATATCGGTCCTAACTCCCTCGGTAGTACGCTGTCGGTCACTCGGTCATCCGAGTATCTCTGTAAGTCTTCAATGCAAACTAGAGTTGAGTTGAGAGGATCGTGTCTCGGTTCTCGCCTTTCTTCACTGACTGTTCTTTTAAGTTTATGGTGTTTGGCTTGCTCAGTTCTGGATGATGCGTGGGAGTTGTATTCTTCAACCGACATGTGACTATTGGTTAGTTCTAACAACTTCGCTAGAGTCTTTGGTCATCACATAATTAGTGTTTATCTTAATGGTTCCTCCTTCAGCCCTTAAGCCAGAGAGGCATGGGCTACTTCAGGCTCCAAGTCCCGCACTTACAACATCTCCTTTTGGAAGCATGTGACGAACAAACAGAGGCTCTCACTTTGTTCCTAGAAGATCTGCATGAGGGCCTATGAACTTTTATGGGGCTTTCAAGCTTTGAAATTTGCTCCAAAAATATTTGTTTGAAATTAGCAAACGATGAGATCACTTCTTGTGGTAACGTGTTGAACCACCTGAGGGCCGTTCCCCTCAACGTGAAGAAGAAAATATGACACTTCAGTACGTTGTTGATCCTCAACAGACAAACAGTCGATTCAAATGAGGTTATGTGGTTGGTTGGATCACAAAAATATTTGTTTGAAATTAGCAAACTGTCGATTCAAATGAGGTTATGTGGTTGGTTGGATCAATTGTGCCTTTATAGAATTCTAGTGTCGAGATCTTAAACCTCTTTGATTTCTTGGCTTCAGAGATTTTCCTAGAGAAAGCATTCTCTAGCTTTCGAGGAGCTTCAGCGTGCTTAAGCTAATGTCAATCAATTGGTGCAGCCCAACACTGTCAAAGTACGATGTTGGTCGATCGACTCTGACCTTTCTTCTCGGGAGTACTGCCCTCTTACCCGAGCCAGCGCATGTCGGATGGGCGTCCATCACTTGATCCTTAAACTTCTCGATGAACTTGTTCGTTCACAAAATCTCGAGTGTTTTTCATGTTGCTAGTGTCTCTGTTGTAGGTTTCTTTTCTATTGATTGCTCATCTTCTTGTCTGTGGCATAATCTACACTCACATGTAACACCTTTTAGGAGTTTGAATCCTAATTTTTCCGTGAATCACACCTGTAGGGAATAAATCCTAAGGAGGGAGAGGGGGAGAAATTGAGGGAGAAGTGCACAGTGACTTTCCCTCTCTGGGCTAATGGGGCCTTCGTGGGTCTCTTGTGGACCTTTTTATTTTATCAAAAAATTTTCCTCCATTTGTACATGAAATAATCTTTCTATTTATAAGGGATTAATTACAATCTAGTGATATTATATTTTTTGACTTTGCTTTAATAAAGGCTTTACCAAATATTTTTTTGTATTTTACAAGTACAATGTATATAGTCTGCTTTGTAGCTCTTGGCTCCTCTCAATGTCCCCAGTTAGCTTTGTAGGCCTTGGTTCTTCTAAAAATATTTGGCCGACTTTGTGAGCCTTGGCTCGTTTAAATGTATCCGGTCAGCTTTGTGAGCCTCCGGGCTTTCAGACCGTCGGATTTCCTTAGGATCAGTGTGACCATATTTTTTATATACATTATTATAAATAGGGTCAAGGATAACTTAGGAGTCTACAATGATTACTATTACTAAATATGTCCCTACATAAAATGGGAGCCAATATGTTGTGAATAGTTGTTGAGCATAAACATTAATGATAAGCTTGTGATGAAGATGCATCATCAGTGAGAATTAGAAGACCCAAATCAAATGGTGTTTGGTTGGCCTGGAGCTGAGAAAACTACGTGGCACTTATCATACATAACATCACACAAGTTTGGACATGATGAAATGTTGTTGGTTTGGTGAAGCTAGGTGAAGTCGTGTCATTCTATCCATGCTTGTAAATCATATTAATTCTATGTTTATTCAAGAGTGGGTTATATCCATACATGTTGACTGGAGACTTAAATCAACTTTAGGATCAATATCTCATTTTACAAAGGAGAAATCAAGCTCTCATCGTGTCCCATGTCATATTTTTTAGGAGTGAATCATCTAAGAAAATCTAAGTTTCTTTTGCATTTGTAACATAGATTCAACTTTTCATAATGTTTAAAACAACAAAGAGTATATTGTTTAATTCCTAGCAAAACCTAAGGCAACAACATCAAACTACAATTCATTTCATGTTGTGCAATAATTTAGCTTGTAGACAAAGACCTCGATGCATCAATTGTATGGTTTTGGAAAGCGATCAACAATGGTGATCGAGTCGACAGCGCCCTCAAGGACATGGCATTGGTTATGAAGCAACAAAATCGGCCTGAAGAAGCCATCGAAGCCATCAAATCTTTCCGACATTTATGTTCCAAGTACGCACAAGAATCCCTTGACAATGTCCTTATTGACCTCTGCAAGGTATACTATACCTTAAGTCTTATATACAAATATAATGTCTATATTATATATATGAAATCTTAAATCCTAACAGCTTGTCTCGTGCATGACTAGAAATGCGGGATGATAGAAGAGCAAATTGAATTGCTAAAGAAAAAACTGAAGTTGATATTCACTGGCGAGGCCTTCAATGGAAAGACAACTAAAACTGCTCGTTCTCATGGGAAAAAGTTTCAAGTCTCAATAGCCCAAGAGACTTCTCGTGTGTTGGTATGCGACTTCATATGTTTTATTGTCTCTATTGATTTTGAATAATATTCAAATTAGATCACCTACGTTTTGAAAATTATGTCCCAACAAACTTTGAAAATTTAACAATGAAAAAAACACCTTTTAGGTACTGAAAATGCTCTAGTAAACATTATTGCATGAATTTCAAATTGGCAGATTTCTTCATGCATAAATCACAACTAAAGACATCATGTAATTTTGGTGTACCACACAAATATATGATGTTATTATTTGCTAACACCTTCATGCCTTTGAAGTTTTTTCTTGGTGTACCACACAAATATAATTTCATTGGTATATCATCTTAATCATTGCTATTATTTGCTAACCCATACTCTTACTAATTAGCATACATCTAATTCAACTCTAATTACTATAATTAACATATGAGTTAACCACCCCTGATCTTAAACTACCTTGTGGGGAGAATTGTTGTAATGGGAGATTTGCATATAAACATACAACTCATATTCTATGTATTATCTAACACCTAAACTTCAAATTCTTACACACATTCCACTTTAGCTATGCATGAAATTGGTCTATTTCACTTTTTGAAAATTAAATGGCGGTATTTTAGATGTGACGTGAAAGATTTAGGCAATATAAATGTTAAAAAAAGCAAAATTTAGGTTTTTGATATGTAAATAAATAAGAATTGGGAGGTAAATATGTAAATGCCCCTATTTTAAGGCTTGTTTCCCCTAAGGACTAACAAATATTTCCTTAAAGTAACACAGACTAAGTCTGCATATTTGTATGACCTGATAGATTGCAATGTTATGCAGTTAATATAAATGATAGGCTAACAATTGTAGACTCATTAAACATATGAATTCAGGGAAACTTGGGGTGGGCATACATGCAACAAGGAAAATGTAGGGCATCAGAAGCAGTCTATCTCAAGGCACAAATGATCGACGCTGACGCCAACAAAGCCTGCAACCTCAGCCTCTGCCTCATCAAACAAGGCCGATTCGAGGAAGCACGAAGCGTTCTTCTCGATGTTCTGAAAGGAAGGCTGCCGGCGTCATCGACCGATGGCAAGATCATGAGGCGAGCGGCAGAGTTGCTCCACGAAACCGAGTTGCATTCACGACTCGGCGGTCAGAACTCGGGGAAGAACATGGAGGAGGAAGTGATGGAGAGGATCAGTGTTCTGATAAATGAATGGGCTCCATTAGAATCTATATTTGATCACAGTGCTATCATTGAGGAGATCAGCCATCAAAGCGATGGGATTGCATGTTAAGTGTTCTGTAATTATATATGTAGATAGGAAGATGTTTATCAGATAGTTCTGATGCATTGTTTGTTGTCTCATGAATAAGGGTTGGGCGATGTGGGACTAAAGTTTGTGAAGATGGAGGGAAGTTGATTTATATAGTTGAAAGTTTAGACATATATTTGCATGTTCATTGTGGTTAAATACAATACTTGTAAGAGGTGCTTGCTGTAAATAACTTCTTTATATAACACCACATAGTGCAAGTTTTACTAAGTGTCCATTAAAATAAACTTGAGAAGCAAATCATTATAATTTTCATGCAAACTTTTGAAGACAATAGAATCTTTGAAAATTATGGAAAGAGCGGCGTGCTTTCGAGAGGGGAAAGGGCGAACACATGGTTAGGCGAACACGTGGTTAGGGCTTCCGCCTTCGGGTAATAAGGTTTTTAAATTTGTTTGTATATATTAATATATAAAAATAATATATCTATATAATATATTATATTAATTATATAACTTATATTATATAAATATATAATATCTATATTACTATTATAGTATATAAATATAGTATTATTAATAATTTATTGTACATTATAATTTATAGAATTTAATTTTTAAAATATGACAAATTTTTTTGAATATATAATTATTTTTTAAATATCATAAAATTTTAATATGTATTTATTTTAATTTTTTTTAATATTTCAAACAATAACGATTCGAACACGAACGAACGCATCACTGTTCGTGTTTGGTTCGTTTAACAAACCGAACGAAAAAAATTATTCGTGTTTGTCTCATTTGCTTATCGAACGAATCGGACACGAACTCTCTGACGAACTGAACATGAACTGTTCCCGAACAACGAGCTTCTCTAACAGCCCTATCGATAGATCAGCGACTTCTGCCCCATCCTTAAGAAGAATTCTAAGCCCCGTCGACCCCAAAATCTCACAGTAGTTCTAGTTCTCGAGGCGAAGCTGCGCAAGCGACCGGAAGCAATGCGGGGAAAACTCTTAAGCATAAAAGAAGGCCATTTTACATAAAAGATACTTTAATTCAAGTATTAGTTAGTACATGCCCCATTTTATAAATTTAATTTTAATAAATGGGAGATTTATGTAAAGAATAATTCTTATTAATTGATACTATAATTTTAATAAATTTATTTGCATAACATTCTATTATCCCTCAATTGCATCATTTTAGAAAAAAATTGATATAATTAATATTGTTGATGCAATTTAAGGATTTTAGTTATACAAACAAATATAAATTTTAAGTATCGAATATATTACACCAACTCTTGCTTTTAAAAAAAATATTATAAAAAACATTCAATGCAAGATTTTTTTTTTTTTGAATTTAAAATTATTTAAAAACTAATATTTTACATTTTATGTCAATTTATTTCTTATTAATTATCTCAAAAATACTTATTTTATTTATCATTTAACTATAATATTCACATGTATTAATATTTTTTTTCTCTCTTTTCAAGCTAAACAAACCAACCTGACTCGGCTCGAACTCAAACTCGTACAATCAAACTCAAGCTCAAACTCGATTAATTAATCAAGCTCAAATTGAGGACAACGAAACAAAAGCTCATTTCATCTTCAAATTTTATATGTAAAATTTCTATTTCATCACGACTAAGAGATGTTCATGATACCAACCCATATATAAATAGTCCCACACTCATTCACTATTTTTATAAATAAAAAATAATAATAAAATACATATATGCATATTTATTTAATTCATCTATGCATTAGAACACTTCAGCTAAAAATCCAAATGAACAGCACTTCATTCACTTGTAAGCCAAAAGAAGAAGAAAACATTAATTGAATTAAAAAAAAAGGGATAATTACATACTGACCACCCGAAACATTAATATTTACGACGTAACCACTCATTGATTTTTTTTTGACGAAGCGATGTATTTTATTTACACATGACGCGGTCGCTACTGCGAATTTGACAAAAATAAAATAAAATAAAATATATGGGTTAGAATTTTACCATAAATTTTGACATATTCTAGTAAGAATTTGAAAAATAGATGAAAGAGAGCGGTTGATTCGTAAATAGTAAGTTTCGGATGGTATTTATGTAATTGCTCCAAACATAAAACCTACATAAATAAAAGTAATTTTGACATTAAGCGCCAGTAACGCGAACACGTGTCATCTTACTGTAAAAAAATTAAAATAAAAAACCGCATAATTAAGCTCGCATAATGCATGGCTGCAGGTTCTTCACAGTAGTCTCATTGCTCTCCAGTCTGCACCTCCACTTGAGCTTCTTGCGCCAATCTGAACATGAGATAATTATCGAATAAATATTGAATCGGGACATCCAAAACCGTTGGATTTACTTTGAGATGAAAGCAATTTTAATTTTGTTTGATTTTTCCAGAGCCTTGCAGCAATCTCAAAGCTAATTTGACGGCTTTTGATGGACCTGCCTTGGCCTATAGTTTGGGGCATTTACATACATACCACGCAATGCATATGTATTTACAGACCTAACAAAAATAGCATAATTTTAACATTTTGAAAGTGAAATATATATATATATATATATATATATATATATATATATATTTATATTTTCACGCATAAATAAGATGACATATATATAAAAATTGAAGTTTTGTCTGTCGGGCATGTAAATACATAAGAATTAAGTGGAATGTGTGTAAATCTTCCTTGTAAATTTTTGCTCTGAGGGGGCTACAAAGTTGTTGAATTTACTTTGAGCATAATGCAAAAAAAAAAAAAAAAATGATTAAATTTTCATATATATTGCATTCAACTTGTTAAGATGCCATAGGTTGTGTAGAGCATACATTTCGGACGGGACGGCGGTGGAGCCATGGTTGTTTGAATCAATAGGCGGCTTGATGTCGGTCCGAACTTCTAAACTTGTTGGAACCTGAGGAAGAACAAGCAAAAGTCAGCCAAAACAAAAAGCAACTCATCTCATCATTAGGGGTGTAAACGAGCTGAGTCGAGCTCAAACTTAATTTAATGAGTTCGTCCAGGCTCATGAGCCAACTTGTTTATTATAAAAAGAAAAAAAAATAGTGTTAGTTCAAAGCTAGTATTATAATAAAATAACGAATAGAATGAGCAATTATAAGATAAATAATAAGAAATCACTTGATATAAAATACTGAAGATCAAATTTTTAATTATTTTTAATAATTCAGAAATAAAGTATTGAATTTTAATAATCGACTGCTCGACACAACAACATAAGAGTGAAGAGGAAAGACAAAAAGCGGGTCAAGATCACTAAAAACTCGAAAACATGGGCGATTGAGAGGGCCGAGGAGAACCATAAGAGCAAAGGGGCTAATTCATTGCTTCATCCATGACTTAATACTCAGTGGGCAAGATTTATAGAAAAGAAGATTTACATGCTTACCACTCTATTCTTAAGTATTTACATATCTAACAACTAAACTTTATTTTTTTATGATTATACCACCCAGTCTTTCATATCACATAAAAAAAAACCACCATTTTATACTTTTATAAAATGAAATACACATTTTCATAAGTAAATAAGATGGTATGTAAAATTTGAAGTTTAACTGTTAGACATGTAAAGATGTAAGAATGGAGTGGCATGTATGTAAATGTCTAAGACACTTTGTAGGGGGGGCATTTTAGTCCTAAATTATAGAAAAGTGATAATTTAGTCCGTAGACTCTTAATATGCTAAAATAATCCCAACGGAAGACTATTTTGGCCTCAATTTAAAAAGTCTGAGAACTAATTTGATACTTTTATAAACTCCGGGACTAAAATGGCCTAACGTAAACATCCGGGGGGCTATGTTGACAATTACTTAAAAATAAATAATTACCTACCATTCCATTCGAACCGGGGAGAGATAAGGTGGACATTTTGGGCAGCCGGGAGACACTTCTCAGAGTTCCCTGCAGATAAAAAGGCAAAAAATCATTTAGAAACTGCATGCTAGATTAAGGTTGGTGCAGTCTGTCTGGTCAAATTAAGAATGAACAATGGCCAAAGTGGGATTTATTAAAGTGGCTTAGATCACAAAACATCCATTCAATCAGAAATTAACTAGAATTAAATCAGGCCGTACCGTCTTGGTGAAAAAAAGTAAAAGAGAACATATTTAAAAAAATACTTCAAGATCTACTTAGCACAAACAAACCAGAAAATACAATTAATAGTAAGTCATAACCTTGTTTGCCCACATCAGCCCGCATGCGTTGCAAAGCGACCTTGGACCGCCCGGACCTCGACGCATTGCCGGTGTTAACTTTGCACTAATGCCACAATTCTGACAGCTGAAAGAGCAAAATAACCATGAGGGAGAATGATCTCCACAGAAGATATTAAACCAGGAAGTTCATAAATAATGTCTGAATAAAAAATATATATATATATTTCAAGGATGAAAATGCAATATGTGGCCCTAGGAATTACATCCAAATCATTCATTGTAACTATTTCTATTTCAGCAAGAAAAAAAAATCACATACTTTGTTTCACGAGGAGTATCATCTTGGCTTGAAGGAGGATCACAGCTTAAAGACGGTGATGACTCATCCTCGGGATTGGCCTTCCCCGCAAATTGACCTTTTCGCCGTTTCATCCTAAGTGTGTTTTAAGAATGTAAAAGATGGCATCATAAAACTGTAAAAATAGAACTACCAAATCAGTACGAGAAAATATGAAGTGCTTATAGCTATTTGCAACCAAGAATGCAGTCACATCTAAGAAAAGTACTAGTATTGCTTTGGACATGCTTAAACTACTGTGGATAATAAATAAAAATGACCAATATTTACATGCATATCACATAATTCTTATGTATTACATATCTAACATCTAACTTTAATTTTTACGTATATGCCACCTTGGCTATGCATAAAAAGGTGCATTTCACTTTTTAAGAATTTTGTGGTATGTATATAAATGCCCCATTTAAAATGTGGGGCATGGCTATTTTCCCAACATGCTTGGGATACTCACCAATTTGTAGAAAACCTGCCATGACTATTAACCAAACACAGATTTTGCTGCATATCTGTAAGGTATTATAATGTCATTGTCAGTTTTATCTTCCCTACAATTCACACATGCATGCTGTAACTTGTATCGATATGACCTCAAATAGTTTAGTGGTCAAGACAAAGGATGATGATGATGTTTTTATAAACTTTATTGCATCATATTGGTACCAATGCACATCGCATTATTATAGCAATGTCTAAGTTTTTTTTTTTTTGTTTATATAATTTTATTTTTATTTTTTTTATTTGTTTGGCTTTTTATTGTTTTTTCTTATTAAATATGAAAGGTTTTGAGCACTTGATCTCTAAATATAATTAAATTTAAAGCATTGAAAGTTTGACTAATAATCATGTTAGTAGACAAATCAATAATATATTCATTGGAACAAAATTTGTGAGTATTTTATAAAAGCCTAAGGCCAAGGCAGAAAGTTTCTTAAATGTGTCACAAAGGAAGCTTTCAGTGCAAAAACAAACTAGCATATAATTATTTTCATTTTATTCTTGAGATTGCCTATGAGCAGTTACTATTTTATACATCTCAATTGGCAAATTTCAAATCAATTCACATTTTCACATCAGAAAGCAATTTACACACGCATTCAACATATGATGCAGCAAAATTTATACATGCATACACTAAGTTGAGACCCATGTAGCATTTCAAAGGATAATCATCCGATGGCAGTGCTGACAAAGCTGTAACAGGCAAATATCATAATAATAATAAATCCAACTTCCTAAACTACCGCGACAAGACAATGGAGCACATTTCGTGGACTCCTATTCACAATTTTTGCCAGTCAATCTTTCTGAAGGTAAAAATTATATAAATACTTCAGCTGTTCCAAAAAAATTCTATGAAAATAATAACAAAGCTTACATTTTCAATAAAATAAAAATGGGGAGATCATGTAGACGAATAATTTCATAGAAAAATAACTTGGTCACATAAAAAGGCATTAGCAGTCTTAAAATAGCGAACAAAATGTACATAATAAAATTTTATTGATTGCCACTAATATGAAATTATATCCACATCCAATCTTAATTCCAAAATGAAAACAATGTTGCAGTCTTGCCACGATGAATTTGGCATAAGTAGAGGACTATATGGCTATAAGTTTGCTTAATGCTTAAGGCCGCATTATTAGAATGGAGAAGTAGCTTAAGACGAATAAGTGATAAGAGGATATCTTGGTGACTAAATCGATAATTTTTATAAAAGTACAATTAAACTGATGATATTGTATGAATTCAAAAGTTGGGTGGTTAATTGAGTATGAAAAAAATGAGAATATTAAGATGGATGTGGGGTATAAATAATAAAGGATAGACTGAAAATAACTACTACAACACAAGTTAGAAAATGGGCCACCGAAAGAAGACACGTGAACAAATGCTTGCCAAAAACTAATTCTTTCCCTGCATAATTTTTTATCTTAGACATCATGAATTATGATAAAAAATTAAAAAATAAAAACATTGCAATGGAGTGTTTTAACAAAATAACTTTTATCAGGAAAATTGAATCACATCCCTTCTAAATTGATATGAGAAAACACATAAACAAGTTCAGAGCAGAAGTAACATCAAATTTACATGTCGTTTAGGAAAAAGTTATGCTCAAGTCGCCCCTTCATTCTCATTCACGTCACCGCTAACAAAACCTAGATGGTTCCAAAGCCAGAGGTCTGACATTTCCAGAAACATAATGGGTTAAAATGCCAAAATAGTGCCTTTAATACTCAATCTCAGTTTCCAAGTAATTAGAAAAGCTAGGGATTTTATGAAAAACGCAACCTCCCATACCTGAGAGCAACCTCTTTTCTAACATCATATCGAATTTTCTTGTCAAAACATCGTTCCTTACGCTTTTCACGGAACCTAATAAGAGAAGCTAACCGTTTTGCTGGTATATTAGTTCTCCTTAATATATCATCCATTCCCTGGTTACAAACAAAAAGAAAAATATCAATACAATTTCTGGTTTGTAACCTGATGAAGCATTTAAAATTTTGAAAGATTTACATGCATACCACTCATTTCTTATGTATTTATATATCTAACACCTAAACTCCAATTTTTACATATATGCCAACTTACCTATGCTTTAAAAGATGTATTTCACTTTTAAAAGTTAGAATAGTGGTGTTCTTTAAGTGATATAAAAAATTCGGGTCGCAGAAATGTAAAAAGATAAATTTAAGTGTTAGATATGTAAAAACATAAGAATTGAGTGCTATGTATGTAAATGCCCCTTAAATTTTTAGGCATACCCTATCATCCTGGTTGCAGGCAAATGCTGAACTAGATATGCTAGTAGGCACTTCACACCCTCCCAATAGTAACAATACAGCTTGCACCTGCGGTTTAAAAGACCGTATATAAGAATACTAGAATGATCACAACTAAGAGCATTATATTAAGTACACCTGCAAAACCAAACAGATTTTCAGAGATTTTTTGCATGAAAAAGCTAAAAAACTTAGCCAAGTAACGCAATGACTTGACCTTTATTTATAGGAATATCATGAATAAGCAATGTCTGCAGTCTTCGCAGTACCAATATATCATGGATATAAAGAGAAGATAACCTAGTTGGTACCATCAATGGTTGCCAGGAAAATGAAAAATATATGCTCCGATCATTACATAGATCTTTGGCATTTTGAGACATAAAAAGTCACGGGTAACCATGTTACTTGTCATACTTTGGATGACTTCATAATTCATTAGACGAAATGCATTAACATTGTTACAGAGAAAAAAAAAAAAAAAACAACACATACTTAATGGGCAAAATGCATCACCAAAGCAATGAGTCCAAAATCTTATGAGGGAGAGCCATGGTACGATGTGCTAAAAAAAAAAAAAAATACATCTTTTGTAATATGTTTTATAGAAGCTTTACGCATTCCCTTCAAAGGGTTCTTAAAAATTTAATTTTTTTTTAGTTGAATAAAAGAAAAACGCGATGCAACTTGAAACTCGTTACCTAATTCAAATTTTGTATACTATCTTTATAATCGATCTGGTTGTTTTTTAAATACACCTCACGAGTTACAACTACTGCCCCCTGCTGCACTTAATTCAAATTTTCAAAGATTATACATACATAGTGCAACTCAAAAAACAAACAAGGAAGCAATCACAAAATAAACAAGAAAAATGTAAAAGAACAATCATGAAAAGACAAATTTGTTACTTCATAATGCAAGAAAAGGAGGATACAAAAATTTGAATGTAAGATTTTATTAACATCGTTAGAGAAATAAGCATTGGAATGGCTTCTTTTTCTTTAAAAGAAAAAAAATATGAAAGAGTCAAAAGCATGGAATTATAGATTAGTTAAAATTTTTTAGCATATAATAAATAAATTAAAAAAACACAGCTTGAAGAAAGTTTCATAACTGAATTGCCCACTTCCAAAAAAACTTTCCATTATTCTTTTTTTGGTTTCTTGACTTAAGTTAGTACAAATAGAAATCAACCAATTCTAATAAACAGAATAGCTTCCACTTCTCAAGGTACTAAATCTCTTGGCCACCATCCTCCTCACCTCTTTTGTTGATTTGTTATTTCCTAAACATTTCATTGTGATGCTCAATCCATGCACAGCCATTCTCATCACCACAAACCATTTCTTCCACTCTTATTCCTATCTTAATTGGCCTAAATCATAAAATAAAAGTAAAAAAATGTCTAGACAATAGACATCCACCATCTCCAATCTTAGTAAAGCATCATTATAATTGTTCCTCCCTGCTTATTCTATGTATATAAGCAATAAATTAATATAAGAAATCACGCTTGCATTGAAGTAGTTTAACCAACCAACTGAATTTGCTGAACTATTAACCTCAAACCCAAACTGTTCAATGGCTACAATGGTAAATAACTGTCTTTTTCAAGAGAAATATTAAGAAATAATGCAATTGTTTTTGGTAATGCAGCAAGTTGAGTAAGATGCTGCATTTTAAATGTGCAATCTTTATTGCATGTCAAAATGCAGTGTTCATTATGGGCTTCATCTTTGGTAGTAAAGAGAAAATGAAATAGTTGCGGATAAAGCAAAGAACTGTTATAAGTTTGGCACACCATTTCATTTAAATAATAGGTTTTTGCCATTTGTACAGCAAAATTCTGTAACTATGTGTTTATAAAGATGCAGATAAAATCAAACTGCATCACATTTTTATTTTATTATTTTATTTTTGAATTCATTGTGTTTTACTTTTATTTTGTTCGAATTCTACGTTTAATAAAATATATTAGTTATCCCTATTTATTCTGTTTAAAGATATGTTTCCACTCTGTCCCGGATAGCTAAAAGAGAAATTGAGGCGAACAGTGAGCTTTGCGAAGGTCATGAGTCTCATTGTCATTACCAAAATATCCTCACTAAACAACGCCATCGCTGACTATCGTCATGTTGCTGACACCAAAGAATCGAATCAGGAGTTTGGTGAAAGAGACTGGGATGAAGCTTGGCATTCCTTTTCCGTTGTCTCATCTTTGACTTTTGTATCCTCGGTCATCAATTTTCATCAACTTGTCTCCATCTTCTATTCCCTCAAATCTTGAATATGATTGCCCAGTTTACAAGCCCTGGGCAAAGAAGAGAGCTCAAGAACCTCTCGCCAACGTCGAGATTTGGGTTGAAAAAATAAATATATTTTAAAAGAATACAAAACACCTAAAACTTATTTTGAGTGCTTATGAAAACCAATTCACTAATTTTAAAAAAAAGCACTAACCTGTTTCAAAAATGTCGATATCTTTCAACACTATCCTGCACATTCCATTCATCGTGCCTACCATGGTAGCAAAACCAATGGCATGAACAAAACTTAAGTGAAAACTCCAATGACAGACCGACAAGATTTTGTGTACTACAAAGCTAACATTATTGACATTGATGCAATTTGATTAAGAATTTAGACTTTTAGAGTTCCTAATACAAGTAGAATGATGCAAGAAATCTAGAAATGTGAGAATTTTAATACAAAAGATAATGAAATGATTAAATAAATCCAAAAAAATCAATGATAAGCTCAAATCACAAAAAAAATCAAATAGCAACTTGATGTTTTAACAATTAAAATTCTAGCTGATCAAAGTTGAATGAAATAAAAAACTCAAGCAGGTCAATGACAAGATATTTAAAAGAAATTAGGGGAAACAAAAATAAAAAGTGTTCAACAAAGAGAAAAAAATTCAAGGCGCCTCTTACCAGTACTAAGAGATTCCCGAAAATTAGATGGTCGCAATTGTACCGCACAAACATGCACACAAGATAGAAAATTGGAATGTTTTTTCCATCAAAAGATGAAAAATTGCATGCTTAAGAAATTCTATAATAAGATTTTTCATCTCTACATTAGTAGATAATGTTCGAGAAAGCCTAATATGATTCTTAAAAATACAAAAATAAAGTTTGACTTTTAGAAATTGATCATTAAATTCAAACATTTAACTTGTGCTATTATCCACAATCAAAACCACACATCCTTTAAGGAACTCCACTGGTAGGTATTACATAACATTTGGAAACCCATCAACTCCCACAAAGCCAACTGTACATGTAATAAACATTGTGAAGGTAACTTTTATTGAGAACCTTTCCACCTGAGAATGATGTTGTTGAGAGAATATTATCATGCCTTAAAAATTGAGAACAAGTGCTTGTAAATTGGAATATTTATATTTATGATGAGATAAAAAGGTATTGCCCAGATAAGATATTCCACAAATATTTCTTTCTAAATGTACCAAAACTCCGTCTCAAATTAGAGCACATATATATTTATTTATTAACGATAAGTAGAGTATGAAACTTGGGAGCAAAGAGAGGACCAAGAAGGAACAAGGAGAATAAGATTATGAAGCATGAACTACCCCTATTGATGCAGAACGTCAAGCAGAGAATTATTATAGCCCCATCAAAAGATCAAGATCAAAGGCCATGAGAGATTCATCCAATATTAGAAAATTTTGAGGAAGTGCAAATTTGGTAAGTTTTCTGATTATATGCATTATTAAATCTTAAATACAAATATTAACTATTAATATTTAAATTTTAAAGCTTACCCTCCATGTGGAAGACTAAGTTTATCAATTTTCCTTACTACATTTGATCCTTGTTTGAAAGATAGAGTTTTGCCACTCCTTAATTGAAGTGAAAATTAGTGTGGCCCCAACTCCCTTCCTCTCTAGGTTTTTTTTTTTTTTTTTTTTTTGAATATATGATGTGTTGCTTTAAAAACTTTCTTTCATTAATGAAATTTGGGTTTTTATACATGAAAATATGTTAAAATTTAAAAATTTAGAACGTCATGCTTGATAACGTGTGCTTGATGATAAATCTCTTTGAATTTTTCTTGATGGAAGATCTAGATATCCCTCATATCAATCACTAAAACCTCTGACAATATCTCCTAATCTTTACATAATTTCCCTAAATTCTTTTGCAAGCTTTCCCCATACCCTATAGAAAAAAAAAAGAAGGGAAAAAAACAAACATTTCACAAGTCATTAGCCAAAACAAGACCATTCTCGACCTGGTTAAACTCTACACATCCACTATTTTCCAAGCTTCTCGAATTCCAAGCAAAGATCTAGATCAAATATTCACCAATGTAGCACCCACACTTCTAAAAATGTGTTGCACCCGTGTCAGACACATATCAGAAGCCGACACTCCCCCACACTTCTCCGACACTATAAAATATATGTCTGAATTTTTTTCTGACGCGAACACGTTCGGGACACACCTCAACACCACGTCGGACGTGTGCTTAACACTATTTCGAGAAAAGGAGAAACGGGAACAAGAAAATTATAAATACACATATAGTCTTAATTATAACTCATAATCAAAATCGTCAAATCTCTAATCACGTTAAAGCTCCCTCTAACATTCATCAAAATCAAGCATCAAAGGTGCATCTAATATTCGTCAAAGTCGAGAATTAGTAATTTCATTTTTGTACTCATATGATTTTTTAAATTTTAGTAGATAAGTTGGATTATAAGTTGAATAAATTCTTTTGAAACATTTTATATCTAATTTTAAAAAACTAAATTTCATAAGCATGAGGTTTTATGATATAAATTAAATTTATGAAGTTAAATTTTATTCTTGCATAATTTATGTTGTGATATTTTTAATAAAGAATAATGAAAAAATATATTTTTATATTAATAATTAATTAAATATAAAGTCGTGTCCATGAGTGTCCATGACATGTGGTGTCCTATTTTTGAAATTATAGTGTGTCCTGGTATCGTGTTTGTGTTCGTGCTTCATAGATATCCACTGATTCCTTAAATCGTTCTAATCCTCCCAACCTTTAAAGACACCATCAAGTCATTCCTTAATCGCATATTTCAAGACTATCCAAATCAATCCAAATTAAACATTAAACTAGTCCTGCCATAAGCAACACTAAACACCCTTATGCCTATTAGATTACCTCCAAATATATCATATCACGTATGCTAAACTTCCCCTAAAACTTCCAAGAGAATCCACACCTAAAACCCCCCTCCATCTCATAACCCTAAAGGTAAAACCTTAAAGAGCAGTCCTAAAGCTGCCTGGAACTAAGTCCTTAGCCGACCTTTTCTCCTTAGCCTAAACCCCACATAAAATTCTCCCACTTCTAGAAGTCTACTAAACATCCTTAATCACCAGCCACAATATTTAAATGCATTAGATCCACACCTCTAAGTCTAAGTCAACTCATTATCAGAGTGAAAACCTAAACTTTGGCATTCAACATAAGGACTTTTGGAGCTAGAACTTTAGGGAGTTTAATGAATAGCTAATATGATCTTCAGACTAGGGCTGTAAACGAGCCGAGCTTGAGCGAGCTCAGGCTTGGCTCGTGTTCGGCTCGTTCGAAATAGCTCGTGTTCGAAATCGGCTCGTGTTCGAAATCGGCTCGTGTTCGAAATCCACTCAATTTTGGAGTTATTAACATCCTTAAATCTACTATTTATTGCATTCGCGGTAATGAGATCATCTCACCATCGAAGCTTAGATCCAATTACAAAAACCCAAATTTGCTCACCACCGTCCAATTCTTCTGTTTACTTGATTGACCCTGACGAATAACCTCAATTTAAAGAGCTGGTTAATTATAGGGTTATGATTAATGGGCTTTATTGTCAAGTAATTATAGATAGTTAGATTGGTGTAAGGATTTAATTTATAGCTAACGTGCCTTTAGGAGTTCATGTAATTCTATAAATACGCTTTATTGGGAGTATTAAGAAAACAATGAATAAAATAAAATAACTTCTCTCTGTGTTTTCTGATCTCTTCTTTTCCACATCAATTTTAAAGTTGCTAACAACCTCAAATCTACCATTTATTGCAATAACCACCAATGAGGTCAACTCTCACTAAGAGCATCATTGATGCACATCCATTGTTGGGTGAGAGATAAATATCAGATTCTTAGATGTAGATAACTCTTAGACTCTAAAACTTGATTGAGGGAGAGAAATTGGCCAAGAACTCAGAGAATGAAGGCTCAATTCATTTCATTCATCATATCCTAATGTCTCAAAACAAAGGCAATTTATAAAATTACAAAACTCCTGAAGACTCTTATCTAGTCATAATACTCACTAGTTACATATAAACTACAGCACATAAAAACATGTTAATCTAATCATAATCTACACATCACATTTATAACCTGATATCATTGCACTAAAATCTTATTTCCATCTTCTTAACAATAAAACTATTAAAAAAAAACAAATCCTGCCCCAACTCAAACAAAAGACTGTCCAATTTCGTTGGAACCTGAGGGAAAAGGTGGTAGCTTTTTCGGTGTCGACAAAATGTGCCGATGGCTATGAGCAAAATAAATGGCAAGAACAGCACGAAGGTGTGAATTTCAACTATAAACCTACATTATTTACCATACTACAAATCCAACTTGTTCGCCATCCAAACTAACAGCGAAATTAACGAAGCATGCATCAAGTGTCAGTTAATTTCTCTAATGTGTGCAAAAAAACAAGCGTAATCAACAGAAATCTTCGGCAAACATTACCTTTTCCGGCGTCACCGAGTCAAAAACATAGACCTCCCCCTGAAACAACAGCGTGAGCTGATTAGGGTTCGAGCCCACAAGCTGCATCGCCGCATCAGCTGCTTCTTGCTCCCCCTATGCTCCCCCTCCTGATCGCCCGGCACGCCATCGTCCAACTGAACGGGAGCATCGCCGCCATGGTTCGGAGGATCGCCGGCAAAGGAAGCTGACATGTCGATTCCTGCGGTAGAAGACGACGGCGGTGATGGGAACGGCCGAAACCCTAGCGCCGAATAGTGATGATGCGATCACGGCCGCTGGGTTCGCTCGCCGGAAAGGGACGGCGGGGGGGACT